GACCATGTAGTCTCATATCTCTGCACCGCCTGCCTCAGCCTCTCTGAGCATCTCCTGGCACCCTCCCTGGTTTGCTCACATTGGCCTCCTTTCAGATCCTCAGACACCACAAGCCCTTTCCCAACCTCAGAGCTTCTTGCTGGTTCTTATCCCCACCTACCTTTAGGTCTGATCTTAATTGTCACCTCATCAGAGAGTGGCAGCCCCCTGCCTCCCAAAGGCAGAGTGCTCCTGTAGTTCTGACATTCTCTGAATGGTGGGGACCCATTCACTTCTTTCAAAGGACTGTGTCTACTGAGCATGCACTTTCCCTCAGTGTCAAGGGATGGTGATTCCAGGTCTCTTCTCCCCAAGATGCACAGATGTCCGAGTCCCAAATAAACGCTTACATCATGTTTGCATATAATTTATACCCATCCTCCTGAACATTAAATCATCTCTAGATGGTTATTACGTCAAATACAATCTAAACGACACACAATTAGCTATCATATTATACTCTTTAAGAATAAAGGACCACTCAAAAATATCTGCACATGGACAGTCAATACTTTCTGTTTTTTTTTTTCTTCTGATGTAATCCGTACTATTCTCATTCAGTATAATTCAGCAGTCTGAGTAGGAAATCTATGGATACAGAAGTTCATGCTTAGCTCCCTAAAAAAGAGAGAGAGATTGAGATTGCTCTAAGATAGAGAGAGAGAGAGAGAGAGAGAGAGAGAGAGAGAGAGAGAGAGAGAGAGAGAGACTGAGGCTGCTCTACTCACAGCTGTACTCACAGAAGCCTACTACAGTGTCTGGTACACAGTACCAGACTTGGTTACCACTTGGTCAGTGTCAGGCCCAGAAGAAGCTCACGATAAGTGACTGTGTCACCTATCAGCACACCAAAGCACATGCTGGCCTCCAGGCTCTCTCGGTATCCCCTACCCTAAATTCATCCAGCTCCTGGGTTTCCTTCCCCCTCCCCAGTTTGTCATTTCTATAGAACCCTGCCATTTAGTCATGCACTAGCTTGGCTCTTAGTCCTCTCTCCTGTTTGTTCTCTCTCTCTCTCTCTCTCTCTCTCTCTCTCTCTCTCTCTCTCTCTCTCTTTAGTAGAGCAGTGATACTGGACTGTCGCCAATTCGTTTAGATCACTTCCCTGTGACCACAGAGGCAGGAGTGCTTTCTGCACCCCACCTCCAACCCTTTCAACCCATTGCTCCCTTTCAATCAGACCATTTGGGTTTTTATATACAAGCGGCCCAGTGCACCCTGGTACCTTTCCTTTAGTACTTGGGCAGCCCAAGTGCCCAGAGTCACTGGGGGTTGCAAAGAAAAAAGGCCTTCAGCCATTGGAGGAAACATAAGCACCTTTTGTCACCTGCTCACACCAGACTGCAGTTCCCCTTTCCTGGACCTCATTCTCTTACATTTTTGGCTGTGAGCCTAACCTTTAACGGATGAGCCATCTCTCCAGCCCTCCTTCTCACAAATGTCTCAAATATTCTCCCCAACAACCGTCTCCACCTCCTGTTTCTCGAATTCCCACATCTCAGAAAGCCACTTTGTCCATACACCTTCTGTGTGTGGTTTAGCTGAGGACAATGCCTGCTCAGCCTACCTGCAGCCTTTCTGTTCTATTACCATAACAAAGGGTGGCTTTGTGTGACAGATGGCACTGAGAGACTCGAGCACAGTATGTGTAACCATCCCAGCTTCTTGCTACATTTTCCGTGGCAAGTTGATTTTATGCTCCGAGCCTCTGTTTCCTCGCGTGTGAAGTGAGCAGGACTGTATCCGGCTCATGGCTGGACTGTGAGGCCTGGAGGAGAAAATGTACACAAAGCGTGCACGCAGTGTCCGGTCTGTGGGAAGCCCACTCGATAAAGCTAGCTATTGTGCTTTCTCATCTGGGTACCTCATTTGTCAAGTATTGACTTATACATCTCTCCAGCGCTTCCCCGACCACATCCTCTAAAGAACTGTGTGCTTCTGAAGCACAATGCCCAACCGTCACAGGGCAGGGTCAGTTCCTCTGTGTGGTGCCCTGGTGTTCCGAGTGCACTACTCACAGAGACAGTATTCCTTCTCTGGCACAGAGCAAGTAGCACTAAAAATCTTGTCAACTGAAAAATAATTAGTTAAACAGATAACCAGATAGTCAAATTGATTATTAAAACGTTGCTATGAGGTCAAGTATGATTGTCCATCCTAGCACGGAAGAGGCTGAGGCAGGAGGATGAAGAGTTTGAGGCTAGCCTGAGCTACATAGAAATACCCTGTATCAAGGAAATAGAACAAAAAAGTCACTGTATTGACCTTACAGATTCATTTGATAACCAATTGCGTAAGATTTTATGTTATTTAATCTCAGTAAGAGCTAATATGTATTAACTCACCTTCTATATGAAACAACTTCATTCTCCACTCTGCTTCCTGAGGTGGAGATGATCCGAGTCTCATTTTACACAGCAGGAGACAGATAAGAGGGCTGAAGTTGTTTACCTGGGGTCCCTAATGGCTTGAATAAGCAGGGAGTCAAACCAAGACAGGTCCAGCCCCCATGTTTGAAGACTTCCTTGCCTCCTCATAGAACTGAGGATATGAAACTCCCTTTATGGAAAATTTCTTCATCCCTGCTAGGATTCCCTCATATCACTCCACAGTCTTCAAATAAAAAAAAACCATTACTGCATTAACACTACAGACTAACAATAAATTTGGGGGCGACTGGTCACCCTCTACCTCATCTTGAGTTTCCCCAGCTTCCATGCTTTCTTACACAACCCCAGCTAAGTGGAACTTACTGGTGACGGTGCCTAAGTGTCACGATTTTTCCATCACCCAAGATCTAAGAGGGGTAATCTTTTTTCTTATTAAGCAACATAAATAAAACGCATGTCAACTGATTGTTACATAGTCGAGTTAAGGCATGAAGTCCCTGCAAAAGCGCATCAGGAAGAAATAAAGAAGCTATCGTGATGGCAATTGCTTGTAACCCCAGCTATTGTAGAGGCAGAGCAGGAGGAGCTCGAGTTCAAACCCAGTCTAAGAAGTCAAGACCAGCCCAAAATATATAATGAGACTGTCTCAAAAATAAAATTTGCAGGGGCTGGGAATGTAGTGGTAGAATATATAAGATCTTGAATTTAGAACCACTATGATGGTGGTGGTTGTGGTGATGATGACGGTGACAATGGATGATGATTATGATGATGATAAACATTTTAAAAGAAAATTAATAATACAGATAAGATTTTTCAGAACAATATTTCATGAAGTCCCATTTATTAAACAAATTTATATATAATTTATAAATTTTAATCTCAGAAAAAAACAGAGAGTCAACTCAGTGGCCCGCATCACTGGTCATGAAAGAGGATGTTTATATTGCAGGCCTTGATTTTTGGGGTGAAGCCAGTTCTCCCTCGGAGAATCCTCTGTGCTCCAGGTCGGTGAAGTACTCTGCTGGGTGTTGGTTTAACCTCCCATAAACACAGGCACACACCTGATTCTTTAATCAGTTTGTCGTGTGGATGGGAAGCAGAAAGGAGAACTTCAGACAATCGGGAGAGGTCATCCCCCAGTTCCATCCCCATCCACCTGCTGACTTTGCCATATTCTAACTAGACCAGCTGTTCCCACATGCCTCCCTAGTAAGGCATTTCTTCACCTCAGCAGGTGGAGAACCTAGGACACACCCGCTTCCTTCCGGTTCCCGTTACACCCATTTCTTTCACTAGGATTAACCTAGAGAGGGAAACACTAGGTTTCCACATGCACATTGCCCTGTCCATTCGGAGCGTCTAGTTGACCCTGCAGTCAATCCAGTCAGGCAGGCCCAGGTGACCACTGGGATGATGGTGCTAACAGTCCTGGCTTCATTCCACATCCTCTGCCTTCCAATCATGGGCTGAGAGGAAGTGTGACTGGGCAGAAGTCTCCTCAGAGTCACTGTCAGGGAAGAGGCTGGTTTGAAGACATCTTAGTCCTTTGAAGAATGAAGCTGATCCTGCATATCCTCAAAGCATTAAAAGAGCAGACATATGTTCAAAGGACATGTGAAGGCCTGGGTGAACTCATCGGAGCAACATATGCTTTTCCATCAGCCTGCTACACCTCAGTAACAACCTGGTGACTTTTTCCGGCAGGAAATGTTGTATACGGGAGTGCACTCTGTTACGTTTGCAGCAGAATCATGACCTGACCAAGGTCTGTGTCTAAAGTCTAAATTCCTAATTGCTACCTTTTCTACATGCCTCTTTCACCCCTTCTTTCAGATACTTTGCTCATTAAGGAGAGGGACATATGGGACTGAGGAGATTCCTCTGTGGATAAAGTGCACACGCTTGTCGCACAAGCAGAAAGAACTGGATTTGATCCCAAGATCCTATGTGCCAGCAGTCGCGGTACTGGGGTGGTGGAGACAGGAGGATCCGGAGGCTCACTGGCCAGTCTGTCTAGCCAAATTGGTCAACTCTGGGTTCAAAGAATAAGATGGTCGGCTAGGGACAAGGCTCAGTGGGTAAGGGTGCCTGCCTCTAAGATTAGCAATTTAAGTTCAATCCCTGGGAAACACACAGTAAAAGATAACCAACTCCTATATGTTGTTTATACATGTGTGCATGCCTCTCTATATATACACACACACACAATTATACACACATACACACACTAAAATTCAATTTAAGGCAGTGGTGGCGCACACCTTTAATCACAGCACTTAAAAGGCAGAGGCAGTCAGATCTCTAAGAGTTTGAGACCAGCCTGGTCTACAAGAGCTAGTTCCAGGACAGGCCCCAAAGCTACAAAGAAACTCTGTCTCGAAAAAAAAAAATCACTAAAATGAAGAACAATTAAGAAAGCAATCCAACTTCAACTCTGGCCTCCACATGTGCCTGCATTTGTATACATGTCAACACACGTGAATGTACACAAACAACATATACACACATACATTAAAAACAAATAATTTTTAAAAGAGTGATATAAGTTTATTATAGACATTTGGGGGAGAATAGGAAGCCATAAAAAAAATCACAAGAATCATTCAGTCATCCAGTCACATGTTAACACATATACTCTTGATATTTTCCCTGTGAGAGCATCTATATCTGTAAGAAGGCAGGCGGGAGTAACCATAGCCTTAGGACAGACACATCTCCTGTAAGTGAATGGACTGAGGAGGAAGCCTCATTTCTCTCTGTTCAGTCACCCTATTTCTTCATTTGATGTCAGCACCAACCATCAGGTTTACCTAGCTAACACCCCATTGCTCACCTATTGCCACCTAGTTGGCATACCCATGCTTCTGGGATCAGGACTCTATGGCCAGCTTAAGAGAGAACCCAATTCTCAGTCACTAAAAACACATTCTCCTCATAAGCCTGGGTTATAGTTGGCCAGGGGACTGGAAGAAAGGTTATTGGGGCTTCTAAGACAGCTTTGCTCTTAAGAGAGATGCACAGGTCTCTGATATTCTATCTGTCATCTGTCTATCTATACACACACACACATTACACATATACACACACACATATATTATATATAACACACACACACCACTCCCTGAACTCCATCCTGGATAGCCTGTTACCTAGAACCACAAAGCTATGTGTAGAGGGAATCTAGTTGAAAGACTAAGGCCCAAGTCTCTAGCTGATCCAGATGTGGGATCTATCTAGTCAACTATTAAGAGACTATTAGCCATGGCTTCACTATAGACTGCTGCAGGGCTGTGGATATAACTGTAGTAAAGTTCTTGACTAACATGAGGAAGGTCTGCATTCAAGAAAACTCTTGGCACTACATTTGAAACTTGGATCATGATCTAACTCAAGCCTGTCCAGCTCTCACCCAATACATGAAGGGAATTTTTAGGATCATGCCTGTAACAAGATCCGGCTTAGACAGCCAAATACATAAATATATACAAGGGGTTGGGCTGACTCTAGAGGAACACACCAAAAGCTTGACAATGTCTACTGCTAGAAATCTCTAAATCAAAAGTTTCAGCTTCTTATTCAAGGTGTGTTTTGGATTTTTGAGAACAGCGTGGATGCACGTCTTGCTCTGCATTGTCTAAACGCTAATGTTTTACAGCATACATGACTTATACTGTATTTGAAATGCATACTAGAAGCATATAGCCATCTTCTGGTAAGGGAAGATGATTTTTTTGGTCCAAATATTCTTCCAGTGATTCTCAGCTGCAAGGCAGGGGGAGGGGTTCCATGCCACGGCTTAACCTCTGTGCTATTGGCCTAACAGCTTGGCATGCTTGCTCTGTGTCGCCAGACCTCCTTCTCCCACAGGAAGAACACTGGGTACCATTGGGTCTGGATCTGCATGTGGTCCAGATCTCTTCAGAGGAAGCAGGTCGGTGGATGTTGGTTGACATCATCCTGGAACCTTGTGGCCTTGTAGAATATCTAAAAATGAATGAGGCAAGAGATGTCATGTTGCTCAATGGGACTCAGGTGTGTAGAATGCCTCAAAATGTCAGTTGTGGTACCCACATAGAACTACCTGATAGATTAGTGCCCTAGTTCAAAGGGAGAATCCCGCACCGCAGGTCTACTGAATGAGTTTCCTAGTATGAGGTCTAGCAAGCTGAATTTTGTGGTCATATGCAGATAGACATCCTGTGGGTGAGCTGAACCAGTCAAAATAACTTACAGGATGAGGTTAAGTTTATCTTACTTGTCTTGGCTGCCTGAAGGCTCTGAGTCCAATGAGTTCAACCACAAGCCAAGCAGCTTCATGAAGAAGCCTGCTTGGGAGTCCCATTGTTACTCCTCCCATCAGGACCTTGCATCTTCTGTTCCTCTAGCCATCTTTGACCTTGCCTCATGAGCCACCTAAAGCCTTCCAGGGACAGGGTGGAATAAACTAGTAAATAAGCCTAAGGAGAGATTCTTCAAGCCCAGCCTTCTTTGCTCGGTGCACCCATGAAACAAATCCCTTTAGTCTTCACAGATAATCTAAACTCAGAGGACACCTACCAACCCTGCCTCTTGGCTGCGAGGCTCAGAGAGGTTAGGTAGCCTGCCAAGATAGTGCTGGATCCAGTCCTAAGAAAGACCAGATCCCATGATCTAATGTATCTCTTCTTGGGGGAGATGGGCAGAGATAACCCCAATCAGCCTGACCAGCAATCTCAGTCGTAGAGACTATGGCAGCTCTCAGAGCTTTGCCATAACCAGTGCGTTATTTTTTTTTAACTGAGACTTTATGTCATTAATCATACATATCCAAAATTTTGTAGATGCTCTTATGAACACATGAACAAAATATTCGTCATCTTTGGGGGGCTTGTCGTAGCTCCTGTTTGTATATATTTATGGGGAGGGTGTGAGGGCTCAGCTACTGCGATGCAATCACTGTAGTCCCGTGTCAATTTTATATCACCTTAGCTGTTCAGTACCCTCTAGTACTTGGGGGGTATTTCAAACGTTATTTCAGACAGATACACATACACACACACACACACAGCCCCAAGTTTTTACATATTTAAATATTTATTGTAACAATCAAATTCAGGAAACCGCAGAAAGTCCCTTCGGTGTGAGTTGTGAAACACACACACACACACCACACGCATATACACACACACTATACAGCACAACAAATATGCAATGAAACCTACTTTGTTCACTTAAGAATCATCTTGTATACAAAATCAGTTTCACTTGAAGCTTAGGAATCGAAGTTCAGGGAGGCCACTTGCTACCTTGCCATGACTGACGTCTCCACCCTCAGCCTAGAGCGGGTTAGAACCAGAGGGATTGCAGCTGGGCTGCAGAAGGGAGGAAGTTTGCAGCTGGGAAGCTCCGCAGTTCTCACCCAAGTTTCCCGTTTTCCCCCCCATGCAGGCTGACACTTCGAAGAAAGTTAGCCCGGAAATCTGCACCACCCGAAACCTGTCCGAGTCCCGCCTCAGCCCTAGGAACTTCCCAGGCGGCGGGGACCCAGGCCTGGGGCAGGAATGGAGAAGCGGGCGGGTGCATCCCAACTGCGAGGAGGTTCACGGAAGCGCCCTCTATCGGCAGCTTTGAGAGTGGCCCACATCTGTAAGCCAACTTGAAGTGCACGTACTGGTGTTTCTGGGTTCAGATGGGGAAGGGAGTTAACACCGTGTACACCATTGCTCACCTCTTTGCAATTTTAAATTCCCCAGGAGGAGAAATTACTCAGGGTTTCTAGGACCACAGATATGTGCATGATGAAACGGTATAGTCTGGGTATGCAAAAGTGACTTTTGAGTATGGCATGGGGCATCTGTAAGCTTACCTGTGCTAGTTCAGCTCCTGTTCTCATTGTTCCATGAGTAAGGTCCTATGAGCAGAGAAGATGCCTCAAAACACAATGAATCTTAGTTGCCCATCTCCCTGGGGCTGCCTGTAGATACAGAAGGAGTGGGGTGATGCATGCAATCAAACAGGTGGTAATAACTTCTGAACCCAGATGTTAACTAAGAAAGCTGGCCCAGATACACGATGCTCTTTGCTGGTCATCTCATCTACCTTGACTCCAGAATTGTAGATTATTCTTTAGGACCCGTAGCACCTCGTTAGATTGTGGCATGAACCATGAACTCAGCTGGGGACATGACCTTCCTTTTTCCCCAGCCTGTGGAATCCTGGGGAGGTTGGCTATTGCTGCCTCTATTCACCTTGGGCATGATGTAAACAGAAATCAGCATCTGTCTTCTTCCTTTTTCCACACCCCGAAGTCATTTCCTCTTACCTGGGATTCTGATGTCTGTATTCCCTCCGTGTGATGGATGCACACCGAGACACAGGGAGGGTGGGGGAGGGGGAGGAGCTTCCTAAAATTCCCCAAAATGTTTTGACACTAGTTTTCAATGTTGCAACTGGGACTAGTCAGTTTCTAGTTTGGGTTTCCATCAGAAAGTTCTGTAGGAGTAGAGTATATAAGCTCTAGGAGCAACTGCAACAGCAGAAGGAGCAGCAGTCGAGGTACACCAGACCAGGCAGCCTGTAACTACCAAGGTGAGTACTCTCCTGCTTCCCGCCACTAATTCCCTGAGCCTAAACGCTGTTCAGGTCCAGACTCCAGGGGCTGTGCTACCCCTGAACCAGGCAGTATGGGAGCGGGGGTGTAGAAAGTCTGGAAGTGTTCCTTATGGCTTATCTACTGGTGAAAACTAGACACTTGGGGACTCAAACATTTGTTTAGAAAGTCAGCTAATGACAGATGTGATGTTGTACACCTGTAATCTCCAAATTTTGGAGGTGGGGGCAGAATGAACAAATTTGGGGGTTTAGGGCCAGTTTCAGCTACATAATGAGTTTGAAATCTGTCTCAAAAAAAAAAAAAGAATGAGTTACTAATAACGTGTGGAACCCTTTAACAGATGTGTATCTGATAGATAGGTTTGCTTTGTCTTTATTATTATTATTATTATTTTATCTTTTGAGACCAGGTTTCTCTGTAGTTTTGACGTCTGTCCTGGAACTAGTTTTTGTAGACCAGGCTGGCCTTGAACTCACAGGGATCCGTCTGCCTACGCCTCCCGAGTGCTGGGATTAAATGCATGTGCCACCACCTCCCAGCTGGTTTGCTTTGTTTTATATAGAAACATACACATGTGGACATGTTTGTTGGTACTAATGGCTGTCTCCTAACGAGTGTAGTTAAGCTCTTGCCTTACTAGTGAAACTTTTTAAAAAGCTTTTGTGCATCCCTTACAGTTACTGAACTCGTAACTGAACATCATGCTTGCTTCCCTCCCCTATGGTGGGCTATAGAGTCAGCTGTGACGGTCACACTGCATAGCTGTGTTCTGTGGTTCCCTGTGGCTTTTTAACTAATTTCACCACCTCATCAAAACTGAAAAGCCTTGGTCGTGTTCAAAACTCCTTCCTAAAGTGTCTAACATCTGTGAGAAAGGGGGTGTAAGATCGTCTTCATGGGCTCATTTCTTCTGCTTGCCCAGGTCAAGTCAGGGGTACCAGAGGGATCAGGGTGACCACCCGTTTTTACACAGCAACCACGAAGCCTCAGCTGGCTGCTCGATTCGTTCAAGCTGTGTTTCAGGATGATGTTAGGTCGTCTCCGAGGTTCATTCTGCTGAGATCTGAAATACACCAATAATCCATGGACTCCCTCTAGGTTAGACTCTTACACCCTCTAGGTATAAGACAAGACAGAAATGAATTCTGCCTCAGGCCTCAGTATGGAGGACATAGACATTAAAGATGTAACCAAATTATTGCCTTCCCAGTAAGTGCTGAGGGAGGAGAAGAGTGGGGATTTGGGGGTCCTGATTTCATTTGCAGATCAAGCAGGCACTTTCTATGGATCGTTTTATGAACTCTTGTCCTTATGGGTTCCTATTTTACAGTCTGGGAGTATAAGGTTTACAGAAGTCAGTTCAACTTGTCAGGGTCACATAACTAACAAGGGGTAGAGCAAGGTCTGCCTGGCTCTGGGACCATGGCCCTTTGCCCACGCCACTCAGGCCATCTGTAATATGTATTCTTATTTCTGAGCATTTTTATTTTTAAATACTATTTCCATTTTTGAATTTAAAAAAATAACAGGATGAAACTTGCAAAAGGTATGTCCACTCAGGTGCCCCGTGCCCAGGTTGGCAGCAATGTTAGAAGCGTTTACTGTCTGAGCCAGGGTTCCTGTGTCTGTGCAAGAATCTCAGAAGTTTAGAAAACTAACAAAATAATATTTTTTAAAAAAAACCACAAAACCAAAAAAATGAATCATCAAAACTTATTGTGTTGAAGAATTGTGGCCTGGTGTCTGTTGCTCGACTGGGAAGCCAAAGCTTGTCCACATCCTGCACCCTTTTTTGTTTGTGTGGGTTTGGTTAAGAGTTGACTCAGCAGCATCTTCACCCTCTGCTGGTACTCTGTGCTCTAAGATGCACAAGGTGATGCTGAGATTGAGCGTGTTCCTTGAACCATTGCCAGGGCTCCCGTCAACCTGAAACACGGTACATGCTTGATGTTCAGATGCATCCGAGCCCCACAGAGGAAATTTCTGGCATGTAGCCAAAGGGGAAAACCCCTGTGTTGTGAACATATGAAGAGTTCACCAGGAGATGCCAGGAATCTCTGCCCTTTTCCCTTCCCAGAGTGCTGCCATCTGGGTTTTACAGCCAGGTATAATTGCATCGCTTTCCCTGGGCATCTCTCTACAGCCTGGCAGATTTTTTTTTTTTATTTTTAAACCCTCTGTATACACAACAGCAAGAATTTTGCATGTGTTTTTGGTTCTTCGGCTAGTGCGAGATAACACACCATCTTATTTATCACTGCACACCTCACAGCCCTTTGAGACCACATAAGCCTTCACTATGCCCTTTTACAGGTGATGAGAGTAGGGCTCAGAGGAGCAAGACCAGCACCACACAGCTACTGAGTAGCAGGGCCAGAGTCCAAGCCTGTGAATGTGCCAACCAGTGCCCTTTTCAGCTAGTACTTGGCTGTATGATAACTTGGACCTGGACAAGGCCTGGATTCTAGTCCTGTCTCTGTCACTGATGATATCTGTAAGAAAAGAGAGAACACAGCAAGGTCCGCAAAAGTTAGCCATATTTCTGACAAAGTCAGATCTAGAACCAACGTGTGCTCATTTTTTAAGGCATTTGCCTAGAATAATTAAACCTTAATTCATATGGATTAGACCTGTGGTCTCTCAAATCTTATCCCTGCCAGATGGTAGCATCCTCCAAGGTAGAAGGAGTTGATTCTGAAGGGAATTAATTAGACACTAATTATCTCAAACACATTCATGAGTGTGGCATAAACTTTCCAGTCGAAAGATTTCTGCTAACTCTGGGTGTTAATCTAGACTGGGTTACAATATAAGATGGTGGCTGACTTATGTACTTCAAAATTCCATGGCGGGTCAATCAATATGTTAGGGTCTTCTGCCAAAGTACACGTGATTTGTAGGCCTTCTGGACCAATGCTTACATTGGCTAACACATTTGCCTTTTGTGTTCCATGGACCTAAAACACCAGCTTCGGGAACCTTCAAGACATGTTAAATCAGACAATCTGGGCTGAGACTCAGCAGTCTTAAGTAAGCCCAGGTTATACCTTATACTCAAGCTTAGGAAATGCTGAGTTTTGTTTTGAGGGTGAGAGCTGTGTGGGAATTTGGGGTACTTTCTGACAATGTTTTGAAAATCTAAGCCACTACAGGTTCTTGCCTGTAGTAGAACTTGAAAGTTTACCCCTGCATTACCTTTCCCATACCTGACCTGGTCCTTTAGCCTAGGGCATCCCAGTACATTCTGCACAATGGGCAGGGATACAGAGCTCAATGAGACGGGAGGCAGAGCTCACACTGTCTGAGTAAATATTCGTACCGCGGCAGTATTGGTCCCGGGAAGCAGTGTATAGGTGAAGTCTTCCCCCCTCCCCACTCTGTGCAAAGCTCCATAAATGTTATATTAACATTTCAATCAGAACCAAGTAAGTGCTGCGTGTTGGTTCAGGAAGCCGCGTTCCACCTCCAAGCTTGTGTTTCTGATCTTTAAACTGATTAGATAATGAGCCAGATGTGATGGTGCACACCTTTAATCCCAGCTCTCAGGAGGCAGAGGCAGGTGGATCTCTGCAGGTTTGAGGCCTACCTGGTCTGTGGCATGAGTTTCAGGTCAGCCAGGGCTGAGGCTACATTTCTAAAAGGAAGAAAGAGGAGAAGAGCAGTATCAGCAAGATGAGTTCAGCAGCTCAAATGTCAGCTGCACAAGCCTGATGTCCTGAGTTTGAGCCCTGAACCCACAGAAGAAGGAAAGGACCAACTCCCAAAAGTTGCCCTCTGACCTCCACACATGCGAGTACACACACGCACACATACAATAGAAATAAATACATATTTAAAAAACCAAACAGCATCAGATGTCTGGGTCCTAGGATTCTCTCAGTTCCAGGTAGCCTATGGTTTTTCATTCGGAGATGTTTTTACCCAAAGATAGACTTCCTATAATCCTACTAACTGCCAGTGAGGAAGAGGAAGGGGCAAGGCCATAATCAGAAGGCAGAGGATGTGTGGGTTTGGCTAATTGGATTATAGTTGACATTCTCTGCCCTGTTTTCCCGCCTTTTCTTCCCCTTTCCTCATCCTCTTCCTTCTGCTTCTCCACACAGATGTGTCATCAGAGGCTGACCATCTCCTGGTTCGCTGTGGTTCTGCTGGCATCTCCACTCATGGCCATATGGGAGCTGGAGAAGGGTGGTAAGCAATCCTTCCTTGCTTCCTGTGGGGCTCCAGTTTCTAAGCCTGAGCCCAGGGCAGCCGCTGGGAAAGGAGACCAAAATGGATCCCACGCATGAGGTCTCCTCAGGAAAGCCTTGCTTTGGGAAAGATGCAGGGCTACCCCCGCCCCACTTCTTCCATCTCTGGGGTCAGTCTCTGCCTGGTTTGGTTTTCGTGTTGGATGAAAAGAGTTTCCGTGGACTGTGGTGACAATGGGGACATGACCTTTGTCTGAAATACTAGAAAACAACTCTTCCAAGCAACTGAAATTCCCTGGTAGAGAATTTCAAAAGTAGCAAAATTGGTCTTCTGCCTTCAACTACTCCTCCACTCTGCGTTGTCCTCTGAGTGGGCTCTGTGATGGGTTTCCTCTGGCCACTTTAGGGTTGGCATTCATATTGACTTGGGTTCAAATCATGATTCTGCCAGGTATTGATTCTGAAACCTTGAGCTGGTTAGCCTCGTGGCCTCCGTTTTCTTAGCTAGGTTGTCAATAAGGGCACTGACCACATGGACTATTGACTATGTTAATGAATACAGAAGACAACATATGATAAAAAAAGAACATAAATATTAGCAAGCCCTATTGTTTAAAACAAAGTCTCCAAACTTGTCATTATCCCAAGGGCAATAAGATTATTTGCAGACTAATAGTGTTGGCACAGCAAGGAGTTCTCTCTGTCTTTGTACTACCTCACACTTAGCAAATGTCCATCCACTCAGTCTTCATATGGACCTAAAAGAACCTCAAATGCTTCCTGAAATCCAAGGTAATAATATCTGGAATTTATGCTTTCATAGCTACACTGTCTTAGTTAGGGTTTCTGTTGCTATGAAGAGACACCATAACCAGGGCAACTCTTACAAAGGAAAACATTTAGTTGTGGTGGTTCACCTCCAGTTCAGAGGTTCAGTCATTATCACCATGGTGGGACATGGCAGTGTGTAGCTAGAAATGGTGCTGGAGAAGTAGCTGAGAGTTCTAAATCTTGATCCACATACAACAGGAAGTGAACTGTCTGCCACAGTGAGTGTAGCTTAAGCAAAGGAGATCTCAAAGTCCATTCCCATAGTGATATGCTTCCTTCAACAGGGCCACGCCTACTCCAACAAAGTCACACCTCCTAATAGTGCCACTCCCTTTGGGGGCTATTTTCTTTCAAACCACCACATATATTATTGCAATGTCTAATATTTATTGAACATAGAACCTCATTTAATTTTACAACAGCCATATAAAGTAGGAGCTATCAGTATCCCATTTTACAGATTTTGAAAACCGAGGCTCAAGAGATTAGAACAGGACTTGATCCCAGTTAGTCTCACTTCAGAGTCTGTGTGTTTAAGCGTTAGACGATTTTACAGGGAGGGCAGAAAGCAACTGTTTCCTGTGCCCATCAGGAAGAAATGGACATACATTAAAAATGAAAAATTTCTTTCCTGATGATTATAAACAATATTTTGAGAACCCAGACAGTACAATACCAAAATTGGCACCTAAAGAAAATGAGGTCAGTGTTGGGTCCCCAGGGGAATAGTTCAAAGATGGGGACATACCATTAAGTCTAATAAACCAGAAGCAAACTTTATTCTAGGACAAAAATAAAAAATAAAAAATCACAGGGCATAAAAAGCTTATCAGCTAGCTGAGACCACAGTCCGAGGTGGGCATATAAGGCTGTGGCAAAGGCTGGTTTCTGGACCCACCTTCTTATATTAGGTCTGAACAAAGGAATTTTTACGATCTCAAGGTAAAACTCAAATACAGATTGCCTTACTTTACAATCTTCATTGACCTAGGTTTTCAGTTAAACTAGTGTTTGTAGTTAATCTATTGTCTTGCCTGGTATCTTCAGGTGGTGTTCACTGAAGCTCTGCATTCTCCCCTTTAATGCTGCTAGTTTCACATAGCAGGGATAAGGCATAACCCAGAGGTCATGTATATCCACCTCCTAAAGGTTAATTCAGCTTGTATCTGTCGTTAATCACAGATGGCGAGGGTGTTATCTTAAGCTAACTTTCAGTTTGCAGAGAGATGCTTTGGCCTTGTAAATACCTTGTTTGTAAAGCGGAGTAACCCACTGTTAATAGTTAATCCTTTGACTGCCTGCTCTCATTCTTCTAGGCTTATAACTTTATATTTCTTTATTTCTACATTCTTATTTCTGGAATCTTATTCTTGGACCCTTTGGTCAGTATTTTCAATCCAAAGGTTCGCAGGAACTAGAAAATAACAGAGCAGGTAAGGGTATCTGCTGTTAATTCTGATGGCCTGGACTTTACCACTGATCACTGAGATCTACATGATAGGAGAGGACCAATCTCTCCAAACTGCCCCCTGATCTGCAGACACGAGCTATAGCACATTTACAAACACACACGCACGTGTACACACACATACACGCAAGGAAAAATTAAATGCTATTTTAAAAATAATAATATCAAGAAGTCTGGCCTCCCTCCCCAATAGAATGTTGGACCCTTTCCTAAGTAAAGCTTCTGCCACCGTCAGATCTAAGGCCTGGAGATTTTGGAGAGCTTAGGAAGGCACTGAGGCCCTGGCTGAGTTAACTCTTTCATCACTTCACACCTGGCAAACCACAGAAGTTTTCGAAAACCAATATGAGAAACAGAGAAGGCTTGTGATGAAGTCACAGTGACAGCCTGCAGCCCAGGGGGACACCTAAGCTCTGCTTCCAACATCCCTGGGAAGTTCTTTCCCTGCCCTTGGGCCAAGGTCTTCTGAGGTTTCTGAGTCCAGGTTCCAACAGGAAAACAACCTGCAGTGCTGTTCAGTTGCCTGGGGGACAAAGAGAAACTGGAGGAAGCCAAGGGTTCCTGAGGTCTGGTGTCAACTCAAGCTAATGATTTCCAAAGAGTTTGGCCTCGAGTGATTTTTTTTTTTTTTACCTCTTATCTTTGCCTGCCGTTCAGCAGTTACAAACCCCACTGATGGGAAGTGAGAGCTGCGCATTTCACAATGCTTTATGCTTGAATGCCAATCACAAAGCCACCATGCATGGGGCACTTAAGGGAATTGTCTTAAGCTTGCATACCAATGAGTTTATTCGCCAGTTCTACAGAGAGCACTAACATCTCACTTTCATTTTTAAAATGATGGCATGAGAGCCAGGCAAGGGTTACATGCCTGTAATCCCTGAACTTGTCAAGGCAAGAAGACTGCCCTGAGTTTGAAGCCAGCCTGGGCTACAAAGTGATATTCTCTAAAGTAAGCTGATGCCACAAAGTTTAAAGTAGCTTGAGTCCCTTTCTACACCCAAGGCTTTTTTAAGTCCTTTGGCTCGTTCTGGTCCATAGCTGCTCCATTCCAAATCCCCAGCTCTTTGCCACTATGGCTCCCATATCTAATCATGCATCAAGATCATCTAGAAGACTTACCAAAGGGGCCACTGGGGCCACCCCAACATTTCTGACTCAGAAACCGAGAACACGCATCACGGATGTTTCCTGGTGATGCTGATGATGGAAGTCGGGAACCCCACCAGGCTTTGAGGACTGCTACACTAAGTTTTTTTTTTGTTTGTTTGTTTTTTTTTTTTGGTTTTTTGAGACAGGGTTTCTCTGTGGTTTTGGAGCCTGTCCTGGAACTAGCTCTTGTAGACCAGGCTGGTCTCGAACTCACAGAGATCCGCCTGCCTCTGCCTCCCAAGTGCTAGGATTAAAGGCGTGCGCCACCACCACCCGGCTAAGTTATTCTTTTGATTAATAATTCATAAGAGGGTAACCTGATAAATGAAGCTTCGATGTGACACTCTCCAGAATACCTTATGGAGCTCTTCCTGGAGCTCATTTGGAAAATTTCAGTGCATTAGAAACCCATTGCATGGCACAGGAGACAAACACTTCCCACTTGATGGGACCTTGCTTAGCCTTTTGGCATCAACGCCTTCCTTCAAAAATGAGGAAACTTTCATCTACTTACCCATATTAGTGTAAATTAGCTCTTTAAAAAAAAAGGCTGCTAATGACAGTCTCCATTGATGAGGTTCATGCAGAAGGGACGAAAACCTTGTCTTCCTGGATAATTGTTAAGAGTTTTTCAGTGCATTTGCCTGGTACTTCTGTCTGTGGGTGGTGATGATGCTGATGCTGATGGTGATGCTGATGGTGATGATGATGATGATGATGATGAAGCTAGCACAGAGTCAGGCTGTAGTTACTGTGCTGAGGCTTATGCTTTTATCCATCTATCCTCATAGCCAATCTACAAGCATAGACACTATTGTTTCTATCATCTTGCAAGGACTCTGAGGCTCCTGGTAGTTCAGCACCTTACTCAAAATCCAAGTAGAGGCCTTGGGATTTCCCAGTCTATCTTCCTCCATACCTATGCTTTAAGCCACTGTGTTACTCTGCTCAGCACACACCCAGCCATATTCCCTGTGAACTGCAACTGGCAGCTCATTCCCCACCCCGCCCCATCTCCACTCCCTGACCGCTAACAACCAATCTTGTGTTGTTTGTATCTGTCTTGTTTCAAGGTTTCCCCTGTGTGCCTACTAACCAGGGTTTAATGATTACAGGCCGCCTGCCAGATAATGACTTGGTGGCAGTTATCGCACTGTTTCCCTGTTCTGTGACCTTGAGTCTAGACAGGGCTCCATGCCCTAAGACCATCTCAGCAAGCACTTCAAAACTCTTGTGAGCAGTGATGTGTCCAGGCAGTGGGGATGCTGACATTGTGGATGAAACCTAGTCCCAGGGTTCATGCAGTTCACCCTCCAGGTCTTCACTGCTGGTCCTCTCCAGTTTATGTTGTAGAGGTGGACTGGTCCCCTGGTGCCCCTGGAGAGAGGGTGGTCCTCACCTGTGACACTCCTGAAGAAGAAGACATCATCTGGACCTTCGAAAAGAGCGGCAAAATCATGGGCTCTGGGAAAACCCTGACCATCCTAGTCAAAGAGTTTTTAGAAGCTGGCCAGTACACCTGCCACAAAGGAGGCAAGACTCTGAGCCACTCACACCTGCTGCTTCACAAGAAGGAAAATGGAATCTGGTCCACTGATATCTTAAAGGACCAGAAAGGTAATTCCATTCCCTGGGATAGTACTTTTTCTAATACATCTCTTCCGAGAGAGAGAGAGAGAGAGAGAGAGAGAGAGAGAGAGAGAGAGAGAGAGAGAGAGAGAGAAGGGCTGGGCGGCTCAATATTGATTTTTTTTTCTTTTCTGACACAGATCCCAAAAATAAGACCTTCCTGAAATGCGAGGCACCAAATTACTCCGGACGGTTCACGTGCTGGTGGCTGACACCGATCAGCTCTAACCTGAAGTTCAACGTCAAGAGCAGTAGTAGGTAAGGAATGGAGTCCCTCTGGTTTCTCAACATTTTGCTAGACCTAGATCACACAGAATCTAAGTACAAACTGTCCATGGATTATCAGTGAAGGATACGGGGACAGCAAAGTCGATTCTGTATTTTTTTTCCCCCACTTTCCCTCAGCTTTAAGCTGTAAGCCGGCCCTCTGAGGACAGTTGTTAGGTGAGTTTGAATTCACTCATGCAAATGGCCTGGCAGCCCTTCATTAAGGCTTACAGCAGCATGGGGAGAAATTAAAGAGAACTCTTAGCCACAAATAACTTGCCAAAACTCTACCGTGTGCCAAAAACAGAAACAAGTGCTCTGGGGCCTCACTCACGGAAACGCTGAAGCAGATTCTAGAAACCTCTGAGACCATCTGAAACTTTCCTAGAGCCTTTTCAACTTCTCCCTGCCTCCCTCCCTGCTCCACTATTCTGAAGTCCAGTTTGTCCAGCACGCTTGGGCTTTCCCTAAGAAACCTTTTCCCAGAGCTCTTGAGCTGGTGTGTCAGACGGCACTGCCGCTAACGTCATTTATTAGCTGACTCCCTGAGCCACGTGGAGGGCAGTGGAACAAACACCGGGGCTCCACTACTGCTTAAATAAGTAAATTAGGGACTCAGTTCCCCGTCTTCAGCATGAATTTACTATGACTTAAACATAACTAGGAAAAATAATGGTTCAGGGTGGCATCAGAGTCCTTGCTGCTCATAGGAAAATTTTCTGAGCTGGGGCCCCTGGGTAGACTCCCATACATTGTAAGATGCATACCTGTGGTAGCATGCCAGACCTCTATGTGCTTAATAGAAAAATTATTTTCTGGCTAGAGAAATCCTTGTACATGTTCATGAAGACACTGGGGCATGGATAAGAGACACTGTGATACTTTGCATAATCGGCAAAGGAATACTCAAATACAGCAGTTATGTGCATTTATTCAAAAGAATAACCCAACTTATATGTTCTTCATAGAGAACTCCCCACAATACTTTCAGAAAGGAAAAAGATGGTTACAAAATCATATTTAAAGTCAAGCTAAAATAGAAATAAAAACACATATGTACATGTATGTATGTATATGATTATCTTGAATAGTCATTTAAAAGTTCCAGAAAATTGTAAATAATATCTATATCTGGGACTCAGATTTGAGTTAAAATGGGGATAGCAGAGACACGAATATTTTCTTTATAAACATCTTTGTCATTTTGTTTTGTTTTGTTTTTGTTCTTGCTTTGTTTTATTTTTGAGACAGGGTTTCTCTGTGTAGCTTTGGAGTGTGCCCTGGAACTTTCTCTGCAGACCAGGCTGGACTCAAACTCACAGAGATCTGCCTGCCTCTGCTTCCCAAGTGCTGGGATTAAAGGCGTGTGCCACTACCACCCGGCCCATCCTTGTCATTTTAATTCTTTATAATTAGTGTTTACTGATCTTATGAATGATAGAGAGAAAATTTAAATTTTCAATGACGGGGTTTAAACAGGTTCTCTGGCATTAAAACATCTCCAGGTTCATTTAGGCAAGAGATGTATGTTTTAGACTCTTACAGCTTCCTCTGCTAGAAAAGGCTGGGTTGGCTTTTGAACCCCAGAGGATAAATCTAACCAGTTCTCAGAGACGATAGTCACCAGGTACTTGCTCTCTGATCTATAACACAGAACGGTTTCTGTCTTGCCCTTCAGCTCCTCTGATTCCCGAGCAGTAACATGTGGAGCAGCATCTCTGTCTTCAGAGAGGGTCACAGGGAACCAAAGGGATAAGAAGTACACGGTTGCATGCCAGGAGGATGTCACCTGCCCGACTGCCGAGGAGACCTTGCCCATTGAGCTGGTGATGGAGGCGCAGCACAAGGATAAATATGAAAACTACAGCACCAGCTTCTTCATCAGGGACATCAGTGAGTTTTGCATGGGAGCATGTACCTGGGAAGCAAAGATGCCGTGTGCCATATGGTCATGATCCCCTGGGGCAGAAGATTTACCTGCAGCCTTTTTTATTCTACACCTCCTGAAAAGCATGACATAGAAACTCTTGTCTGCATTTTGCAGAGGAGGAGACTGAAAGATTAAGCTGCCTTTCTCCAGATCTCTAGTCTCACAGCTCAGACCCTGATTTCCCTCATGCAGCAGGCATTTGGGGACTTGTCTAGTCTGCTCCCCCAGGTAGATGAGTGATGGATCTGAGAGTCACTGGGTCATCCACCCTGAAGCCGGAACTTCCCTACCTTCTGCAGTTTGCACAGTTCATTTTTCTCTAGCAATCACATATATGTGTGAAGTTATAAAATCCTTCGGACATCTACATCTAAACTGACAGTCAGAGAGTTTGTCTTTTCTCATTTCCTTTACCACATATTCATGGAATGGTCATCTGGATAAAATGTGATGGAATCAGAGACCTTGATGCAGAATTTTCAGAAAGTCTATAGTTGGTGGGGTTGGGTGTTGACACAGGGATGGTCAGGGAGGTACCCTCTGAGAAGATGACTTTGGCAGAGGCCTAAAGCCTCTGTTCATTGCATTATTATTACAGTATTATTATTATTATTAATTATAATAACAATACTACGAAGGGCATTTGTGAAGTACCTACCAGGAACAGTATAGTCATTGTGTGGAATAGAGCGAGGCTTCCTAAACGGGAGCATACTTCAGAAATGTCTCTCCATCAAGAAGAAAGTGCCACCTGAAGATCATGATACTCACTGTATTGTCAGACAGAATCCAGGGGTGGCACCTAGTAGATTATAAGTCTTGGGTCAGCTACATGCTTAGTGCAAAGTGGGGGATCAAGCCCAGAGAGGGTGTCCCTGACTGCAGAGCTCAGATACTAGTCTTTATTAAGCGGAATGACATCAGGGCCTGCCAGTCTGTGCAGTGAAGAAAAGGCTCAAAAACATAGGAATGCTGTCCATAACAGTGACTTCCTCACGTGGAAGAAGCATCCTCCACCGCCGTACCTCACAGGTGCTGCCCGGGTGCTCAGAGAAGAGAATGAGCTATAGGGACTCTAAGGTGGAAGGATCAGCCATCCAAAATCAGAAGCCTAAACCCAGGCTCCAAAGTCTGGCAAGATAATAAAGGAGGTTTGTCCTTTTCTGCAGTCAAACCGGACCCGCCCAAGAACCTGCAGTTGAAGCCGCTGAGCAACTCTGAGGTGGAGGTGTCCTGGGAGTATCCTGACTCCTGGAGCACTCCCCACTCCTATTTCTCCCTCAAGTTCCAAGTCCAGCGCTATCACAGGGGAGAAAGGGTAAGGTGGGGGCAGGGACACAGGCATGGTGGGTGTATCCAGGTCAGATTTATGCAGCCCATGTGGGGACAATGTGAAGATCCTAACAACCAGGCAGGCACTTGCTGCAGGGCTAGACCAGTGCTGAGGAATCTATTTCTCTGTGTATCACACACAACCCACACAAAGGCCCAGAGGCGCCTCTTCACTGAGGACAGTGAAGTTCAGAGAGGCTATGACTTTTCCAAGTTCACCCAGCTAGAGTAGTGATAGAACCAGGACCCAGCGTCACTCTGCTGGAGGCAAAGGTTGTGACCCAAACCACCCTACTTCCTCCAGGACAGTCAACTGCCAATCCTTAATTAGAATTGTCAATGATAAAGAGAAGGCCTGGCAGTGGTGGCGCACACCTTTAATCTCAGCACTCGAGAGGCAGAGGCAGGCGGATCTTTGTGAGTTCGAGGCCAGCCTGGTCTACAAGAGCTAGTTCCAGGACAGGCTCCAAAGCTACAAAGAAACCCTGTCTTGAAAAACCAAAATAAATAAATAAATAAATAAATAAATAAATAAATAAATAAAGAGAGCTGGATTCCAGGAGCCTAAAATGATTGTTTCAACCAAGTGAATGTAATAAATGCTAGAACATTGGTGCTGTGCTTCACACAATATGGATAATCCCTACTTGTGTAATATATGGAGCAATCGTTTCACCTAGCAAGGTGCCCGCACTTATACAGACTAGCATGGTCACTTTCCAGTCCTCTGGCCCTTAACACAGTGATCTCTCGTAAGTTTTTGGAGACAGTTTTATAGAGCCTTTAAAGTCACAAACCAAAGGCTTTTTCCTACATAGCATTTAGAGTGTGGTGACAATTCAGCTCAGAGATTCAATCACTCTCTCAAAGTGGGAGCAGAAAATGAGGCTATCTTGAAACAGATAGATTGTAACTGTTATGTAGGTGGCTTAATAACCAGGCTAGCTTAATACGAAACAGCAAATTTTAATGAGGGGATAGCTTACAACACCAGGGATCCAGCGGTGAGCAGGAGACACAAAAAAAGAGAGCAAACGGGCTCACGCTCGCCAGATTTATATGTAAACACTAGCCTGAAGCGAACACGCCCCCTAAGGGGGCTGGGCTATCCCTACGCTGTTAGCTAAATTTTGCTAAGTTTCAGCCCTGTGTATATGTATTTAACGCTCATATCTTAAATAGGTAATGTTGGGTGTTTTCTACTTGGTTAAAAGCTTTCTGAGCACTTTTACATAAATATTTACCTGCTTCAATTCTTAGAGGCAGGCATTATCATGGGCCCAATTCATAAATAAGGAGAGGTACAGAGAGCCAAAGACATGTTCCTGAAGCCCCAAAGCTGTTTAGTAGCACTGCCAGGATTTGAAGTCACCAATGTAAGCCGACAGGCACGTGAGGGATGGGGGATGTCGTATTTCTGGATAGCCAGAATACAACTAAGGAAGGCTCGTCTCAGTCCCCCCCCCCCCATGAGCCTCATACTGGAGTCTTTGCCTGTGAACAGAGAGACAGAAGGTGAAGCTTTCTAAACAGAAAAGTGAGGCCCCAGGAGATGGGCGAGTCAGTGAAGTGTTTCCTACTGAAGCATGAAGACCTGGATTCTAACTCCCAGAAATTATGTAAAAGCTGGATGGAATGCCTATAACCCTGGCATGGCACAAGTGTGCACACGTGCGCACATACGCATTTACACATGTATTTACAGCTTCTGCCAGCAGGTGGTGCAAGGATAGTGTCCTTAAGACGACACTGTTTGTTTAAGGAGGTTATGTTCTGCGGGAGCATGCCAGCCTGCCTTATATTGCCTAAAGCCCTTACACACTTTCCTCTCCTTTGTAGATAAATGTCCCCATAACTGTAGACGAGACCTCTACCAAAGTCACATGCCACAAAGGTATAGAGGTCCTCGTGCGAGCTCAGGATCGCTACTATAATTCATCGTGGAGCGAATGGACATCTGTGAGCTGCAGTTAGGTGAGCAGCTCCAAAAATCCCAGACACACCTATACATTCATCTCTCCCAGTGGAGGACAACAGTGGGGGCTTGGCTTGTGAGAGAGGAGGGGGATAGAGTTCCTGGCACAGGGATATCAGGATAGCATTTGTTCATTCCCAGATATTAATTTGATGTGCTTGTTAGTTCAGGCACTGTCTTGGGCCCAGGGATATTACAATCGAGAAAACAGGCAAGGGTCCTATCTTTGTGGGGGGGGGGGGGGGGGAGGAGGCAGGAATTAGAGTCAGGAGGACCCAGAAATAGATAAAGTTGGATCATCGTCCTAGGGGCTCTGACGACCACTGACGAGCTTTTAATAGCCTGATGCGATGCCCTTTTAAGGAAAATATCTCGAGAGCCCTTGGCAAGCATGAGATTAACTGAATTCTGAGCTTGTAAGGAAGGGCTGGTCCTTCTCGCATGGGAATCCCCAAACCCAATGGCTAGGGAGAAGGTGTGCTGAGCAATGGGAGGGTACGCTTCTGACTAACACAGACTTACCCACATTTCCTTACAGGGTCTAATCCCAGGATGCAACTTTGGAAGAAGAAAAGCGCAAGATGTTAGGAAAAAAGTTTAAACTTATGATGGAAGAGACCCCACCAAAAGCTATTTTCTTCTTAGTTGGCTTTTTCCAGTGTTTTAGCTTCATAATGACACCTTTGCTGTATTTCTACATTTAAATGTCAAATGCCCACTGAGACAACGAGCTAATTTATTAACATAACGAGCCTTATGTTATTTAAATATTTAAGTAATTTATGTATTTATTAATTTATTTCTGTATTTAACATTTGTATACCAAGATGTATTGAATATTTCATGTTCTCATTGCCTGATCCACAGGGACCAGGCCCTAAAAATTATGCAAAGTGTGAATTTATTATTTTGTTCAACACCTTTTCAACCAGTGCACAGGTACCCTAGCTTTTGAGACAACCAATAAGAGCATAATATTCTGACACAAGCAATGTTACGTATTTGTGACCAGTAAAGAAAGACACGGGGGACATTAGGAGACTATGAAGAAGCTATGAAGGAAATTCCGAACAAATTAGTGCTGGCTCCAACATCAGTGAAGACTTCCTAGCAGTGGCATTGATAAGAAGCTAGGACCACCTGTGCTCCTATTAGACTCTGGGTACCTAAATTTAAAAGATTTTCTAAATCCAGGTTTGGGGCTATAGCTCATATGGTAGAGTGTTTGCCTAGAATTCATGAAGCCCTGAGTTTGGTCCCCAGCTCTGTATAAACTAAGCATGAAGGTGCATACCTTAATCCTAGCACTAGGGAAATAGAGGAACTTCAGAAAAAATCAGACGTTTAGCATCATCCCCATCTACATTACAAGTTCAAGGCCAGCCTAGACTGTATGATATACTACCTCAAGAAGAAGGGAAGGAAAGAGGGGGTAGGGAGAGTTAGCTGGTTACCTCCTTGGCAGTCCCCACCTCCAACACTCATAAGACACAGAACAGAGACATCCTGGGTGTTTGGAAGAAAAGGGACTCTTGGAATTGGCATCTGAGAGGGAACGTAAGTATAGTTGTGTCTAGAGGACGTAAAATCCAAAGTGCCTTAATAACCATGCAAATGGATGCAAAAAAAAAACATATAGAATCACTGCCTCATCAGCCTGAGTACAGCTATGACCTGACAGGACCCCTCATGCCCCCGAAGGTACTGCAGCTACATAATGACCTAATACCATGCTTCTTGTAGTGATCGCCTTTGTCTATTTGTTTATTTATTCATTTATTATTTATTTATTTATGCCTTGTGAAACCAAACAAATAAAAAGTTTTCTTCACAACCACGGTTTGCTACTTTCTCAGCTGACTTAGCCATTCCGTTTCCAAGCCTATTTGGATACCCTCCACCTGCCCCCTCCTCCCCCTTCCCCTACCAGCCCATCATCTAAGAACTTCTTCTCCTTGAAGTGATTTCATCTCCAATTGTGCAGAATTGCTCTTTCCTTTTATAGTGTCTCCAACATCGGCACCTTGCTGAGCTCAGGGAAGGTCTCTGCAAGCTTCTCAGCAGGAACTCCACGAGGGCACAACACTGCACTGTGCCCTCTTTAGGGGTTTCCTGCTCCATCATCAATCCTGAAATGATACTCTGATCCCCCCCCTTGTCTTAGTTCGCTTTATATTGCTGTGATAAACCCCCACAATCAAAAGCAATTGGGGAGTAAAGGGTTCATTGTAGCTTAAAGCTGGTAGTCCACTGTGAAGGGAATTCATAGTAGGAACTCAAGATAGGAACTAAAGCAGGAGCCATGGAGGAGCACTGATTACTGGCTTGCTCTTTGTGGCTTGCTCAGTTTTTCTTTCTTATACAAGTCAGGACTACCTGCCCTAGGATAGCACTGTTCATAGTAGCCTGGGCCCTTCCACGTCAGCAATCAATGAAGAAAATGACCCTCAGGCTTGCCTATAGGTCAATGTGATGGTGACATTTTCTTTTTTCTTTTTCTAATAATTTCTTTTTTTTCATCCTCCCTCTTCCTTTCCCCTTCCTCCTCTCCCCATCTCCCGTTCTCCTTTTTACAGCCCAGTCACAGTTTCCACTCCTTCCTCTCCTCCCAGTCCCTATCTCCCACCCCTACCCCCATCCTCTGTTCCCACCCCCAATTCACTCCTCCTCTGTTTCTGTTCATGAAAGAACAGGAGTCCCATAAATATTAACAAAACAAACACTATCAAGTTGCAGTAAAACTAAGTATCTCCCCATGTTGTAAGTCTGGGCAAAGCCTCCCAATATAAGGAGTAGAGTCCCCAAATTCAGTAAAAGGGTCAAAGACAGCTCCAGTTCCCACTGTTAGGAGTCCCACAAGAGGACCAAGCTTCTTGTAATGTCGTAGACCCTCTCTGGCTCCTACAGTCATTTCTCCTCCTCTTCTGCAGGATTCCCCAAACTCTGCCTAATGTTTGGCTGTGGGTCTGCATCTGTTTCCATCAGTTGCTGAATGAAGACTCTCTGATGACAATTGGGCTAGGTACCAATCTGGTTACAGGAGACAACCTGTTTAGACTATGTATCTACTATTGCTAAAAGTCTTAGCTTCGCTCAACCTTTTGGATTTCTGGGAGAATCCATTGCACCAGGCTTTTACCTGACCCTGAAATACACCCCCTTTCCAGTATTCTTTTTCATGACTCTCTTCACTGCCCCCCAACCTGATCACTCATGTTTCCATCCCCACCCACCTTCAGCCCATTCACAGAGTCTATTTCCCCTTCCCAGGGAGACCCTGGCGTCCTCCCATGAGTCCTCCTGGTTACCTAGCCTCTCTGTGTCTGTGGCTTGTAGCATAGTTATCCTTTATTTTTGCAGCTAATGTCCACTTATAAATGAGTACATTTGATGTTTGTCTTTCTTGGCCTGGGTTATCTCATTCAGAATGATTTTTTTTCTAGTTCCATCCATTTGCCTTCAAACTTCCTGGTGTTATTGTTTTTAACACCTGGGTAGTACTTTGTTATGTAAATGTACCACATTTTCTTTATCCATTCTTTGGTTGAGGTGCTTCTAGATTGCTTCCAGGTACTGGTTTTTACAAATAAAGTTGCTATGAACATAGTCAAGCAAGAGTCCTTGTGGTATGATTGAGCACCCTTTGACTATATGTGCAAGAGTAGTCTTGAGGTAGATTGATTCCCAGTTTTCTGAGAAACTGCCACACTAACTTCCAAAGTGACTTTCAAAGTTTGCACTCCCACCAGCCATGGAGGAGTGTTTCCCTTGCCACACATCCTCTCTGGCATGAGCTGTTGCTTGTGATTTTGGTCTTAGCCATTCTGACATGTGTAAAATGGACTCTCAGAGTTGTTTTGATCTGCATTTCTCTGATGACTAAGAATGTGGAGCATCTCCTTAAGAGTTTCTCAGTCAGGGACATTTTCCTAGCTGAGGGTCCCTCTTCTCAGAGGATGCTAGCAAGTTGATGGAACCCTAACCAACACATCCTACACCATGAAATCAAACTCTGACTCTACATGAGATGAATGTCCTCCTCATTTCCCCCATTTCATCCACTCAGCTCCCGGACTCATTGAAGATCTGTATTGTGTCTGTATGTCTGGTAGACCTTAGTCTTTGGGGTTTCCAATGAACCTCATGTTATATTTCTCCTCAGAGTGCCCATTTCTGGTATTACTTAAAAAAATAAGGCCGGGTCTAGTAAGGTGAGCATCCATACTGCCTAGGCTCCCACAAAGCCAATACGTGAAGTAGGATCAAAAACCCATTACCATTGTTCTTGAGTTCTCAGTAGTCCTCATTGTCCGCTATGTTCAGCGAGACCCGGGCTTTTTCAGACCCAGGCCAGCTGGCCTTGGTGAGTTCCCGATAGAACATCGGAGGTGGGTGGTCCTTGGACTTCCCACAGGGCAGGGAACCCTGATTGCTTTTTGGGCTGACGAGGGAGGAGGACTTGATTGGGGGACGGGGAGGGAAATGGGAGGCGGCGGTGGGGAAGAAACAGAAATCTTTAATAAATAAATTAATTAATTAAAAAAATAAGGCTGGACATGTCTAATTCTATTGAGTGCTGAGGTGCTCACTGTGTATGATGTCCCAGGATCTCAACAGGCTGAACAGAAAATAGAAGTCAGCTTTGTTTAAATCATGGGCAGACACTATCAAACTCTTCTAGTGGCTCCTATGGGAAGAGTTCACTAAGGGTGAACTCAGAGAGAAGGGAGATCAACTCCCTGCTATCCTGAAAATCCAACTGTACACAGCTGGACTTCTTTGCAACTGTAGGGGGATTTTTGGTATTTACTTAGAGTCCTGGTAGTATTTTCTAGAAGGGTGGGAGGGAGTTTCTGTCTTCCTGTTCAAGCCATTGAAGAACAACATCCTGTTATGAGCCTGCACTTGACAGCAGGGAATGGCTTCTAACACCGGTTGATCTTCCTATGAGTTCTTTCATCTAGTGATACCACAACATCTATCAGGAACTAAATGAACA